CGCGCGACCATCGCCTGAGTTTCGAACACGCTTGGAAACTGGCTGCAACTTCGTGACGATTTCCCATCGCCGCAACAATCGCAGGGTTGCATGTTAAAACACGTATGATTTTAAAAAACGAAAGGAAGGGAAGGGGGGGGGTCGGTCTTGGGGAGTTCGGAGTCTATACGTATATATTTTTTCCTTCGAAAATGCGAAAAAGTAAGCTTTACATCCCGTTCGTGAGAGTGGAAATTCGATAACATTTTTTTAGCAAATTACGATGCAACGAGTTTTTTTATTGAAAATGATATTAAAATTGCAAATAGTAATACATGACTCAGTCATAAACTATTTTTTTGTTAAATTTTAAAAATCCGATAAAATCWGTTGGCATTTACAATGAATAGAAAATTTTTCTTGAAAATTGATAAAATGTATTTTGTATGAATAAATAGTAATTTCCATAAATATTAATAAATACAAGATAATTATCCATGATCGATCAAAATAGTTTCGCATGTTCAGGAATGACTTGCTAGAACCGTCTTGAAATAACAAAGCTTCTAGTTTCTCTAGTTTCGTACTTATTTGTTGATGTGATCCTTTCTGTRTTTTTRTAAATTTGTTTTTTTCAATGCATGTCGATGCTGCAATGCTCTGCGTGGTTGTTTCATGGCTGTAACTCTTCCAGCATTAGAAAATGTTGCAGAGTTGGTTGCTGTAAGATGATTTTCTGTATCATCCTTACTGATRAATACGTACTGAAGATCGATGTTAGCCTAAAAATGAGAAATAATACGAGTAAGGAGCATGAAAACTTGAAATTCTATAATATTTCATTGAAAAGATTCTATAAAGGGCTCACAATCATGCTACCTTTCGGCGTTTTCAATACAAGTCATTCGTCCAGCCGCGGATAAAGATCCAATCCAGACCTTCAATCAAGACCTGGAAATTGGTCCGTGAGGGARAGGAAAGTCGGACCATAGACCCTAGTAAGCGGCGCTAACTGTTTACTTTCCCTCCGTGAACATCAAATATTTCCATTATTGTCATACCATGGTAGTTTGAAGTCCATAAATCCTTGAAATCTCTTTTATTGTAAGATGGTCTGTTAGAATCTCTCCACAACGAATGATTTCTGCCTTTATAAAATGAATGAGTTACAAATAGAAGAGCTTTATATGAGTACATAAAACATGCCAAAACATGCCAACTTGCATCGATTTTCCCGGCTTACCACATGTGTTTTAGGAATGGAAAATTTTGCGAGAACGAACTTTTTGATCACTTTTATCGTTACTTGAGAAGAACAACGAAGGTAACGAGAGGGGAAGACCTGTATAAAAGTATCGAAAATGAGTCAAAAAACTACCTGCAAATTTTAGTGGGCTTCATTGTACTTACAGGTTTTGTCTTGGCATTTTGTCTAAGATTTAAAGAAGTACTACGGATAAGCTTCCTGAATAAATCATAAATCAAAAAACGTTTTTGATCACTAAATGTCTGAACTTACACGTAATATTGCAGCAAAATGCAGACTGGATTTYCAACCTTTGTTTCGCTGTTCCTTTCGGCTTTATAAAGCCCATTTTGACAGTCTGATACTGAAGATATAAAAGTTTTAAGTAACATAAAATTATTAAACTGATCAAGTAAGAAGTGATCATAACTATTGGTGGACTGTTTTCTGAAATGGTCTTGTATAGATATGTAAATGCATTGAAAAAATGAACTGGGAAATGAAAAATAAAAGCGACGTCGTCAAACTAATAGAGAAATAATACAGAAAAGAACAAATAGATGCAATGATACATTAAATAAATGGATAAATAGGGATAAATAATAGAAAAAGAAATGAATGGATGGATGCATAAATGGATGAAAAATAAATGAACAAACAAGTCACTTATTTTTCTGCTTTGGGGGATAAACTAGACTAGTGACCAGTCCTGTACCTTGTGGAGCAAGTTTGTAGACTATGTCTTGCAGAATGCGGTCAGGTCTATAAATAAATAAAAATAAATAAATAGATAAATTCTCATTACAACAGCACTATCAATATCTAGCTATAATCTGAGTTTGTCTCACCGTATATTCAGTATTGGTCTTGTTTTATGAATCTCCGTCTTACAAACTGGACAATGTCGACWGGTTTCAATCCATTCAAATATACAGCTCCTACAAACTAACATAGGAAACGACGTATAGCCGTTTACATATCTAAACCCAGTCATACTGACCATGCCTCAACAGCTTAGTGCATAGCTTATTACTGGCTTACATGARTGTAAACACTCGATGATAGTAGTAGCATCCACAAGGTAGCCTCCACACAACACACATATGATGTGAGGGTTCAGGGTCTTGACATTCATTGAACGAAGCATCATCAGATTTTCATGCTTACTTTGTTTTCCCCTCGGTTCATCTGAAAGGAAACGTAACTATATAAAGGTTACCATATATGTTTCAAGAGAGTAAAACTGAAGGAGAAAATGACAAAATGGCTCATGCAAAGTTGCAGTTGATAGTCGTGAAAAACGGCAAGACAAAGTGAGCGACCATGAATAAACTTGTGAACTGTTTTAGCTGCAAAAAGTGTTGAAAAACAAGAAAATACCTTACMTTTTGTTGATGTTCACTAAAAATTTGGCGAATAACAAAAATAATTAAGCTTTAGGTAAGAAAAACGACCGACGAATCGATGATGAAACTCGATGAAACAACCATTTTTGCTCTGACACATGACACGTGACATAACTCGACCCAGTCTYCTTCAATCAGGGGTTGTTTTTTCTTGTCGKTTTTATTCGCCGTTCTTTTCTTCTAATTGCTTTCCTTCTTGAACAGGGCAATGACAAAAAATGATAGAAAATCGTAAAACTATCGAGACCCTATGCCGTCCAGCATATTCAAGAGCACTTTGCCAGCAGGAGGTGTATTTACAGGCAAGTCATAAGTGGCGCACAAACAGTGGAACAAAAACACCACGCAAGCAGATAAAATCGACAACTGTTATTGCAGCATGATAAGAAGAATATAATCAAGAATGTTTTTACTAGAAAAGATGGAAAACACCAAAGAATTAAGGCTGAAGAAGACGACCAAGACCAAGAATTCCGATACAAATGTTCGAACAAATGCAAAACAACTTCAATAAAGGAATACATAGTGACATCAGATACAAGCAAGATACGTGGCTCACATCGCCAGAAGATCGAATCTGAATTCATCCAAGCAACTGAGATATTTAATGACAATAAATATACAAAAGTAGGAAGACCGTATACGGAACCCTTGAACAGAAAGTACTTACATATCAGCAGAAACTTACTGCTGATAACTTCTACCATATAGAGGGGACTGTTCCCTCTATTAACTATGCTTTTAGAAACTAGCACTACTAAAAGGAACATTATAGATATTATCATAATTAAATGACCACTCTAAATCTATAAGTGTAGAATTTCATGCTTTTTATATGCTCTTGATGCCCCTCAAAAGTCTGTAAATCGCAGTTCCGACATGCATTTATAATTTCTGGGGGAGAATGCCTAGAACCCCCTTATGACTCCTGCCTTCGGCGCTCGTAAGCCTCTACAACAGAAGTACTTATGTGCTTTTGCCTATAATCAATAATTTAATTTGAATCAAAAATTGCACTCAAGGCATCACAAAAAGTTTGTTTTAAGAAAAATAAATTGTTTCATCCTACTAGGGCTCGTCACTGAGTGGGTGAATGCTTCCGCATTTGTGGAGATGAAGTGCTCCTGTGTCATGCCCCCATAAAGTCGCTCTTTGGAGGCCCAACTCCCTCTACTTAATACTGTTTGGACTTAGGTTTTTAGGAGGCCCTACTCCCTCCTCTCTACACAGGAGCGCATTCATAAGGGGTGCATGCAGAGGCCCTACTCCCTCCTCTCTACACAGGAGCGCGTTCATAATGGGTGCATGCAGAGGCTCGACTTCCTCCTTCACCCTATGTCTGTGACTTCTGGACCGTAGCTTAGTTTTCACTGTTAATATATCAGTAATCCAGCAGTAAAAACAAAACAAAAAACAAAAAAACAAACAAAAACAAAACAAAAACAAACAAAACAAAATTGGGCAAAATGATAGATATTTAAGAAATATAAAACGGTCGCTTGTGTCTCTCGGTCCTCTGATATAAACACGGTGGGAGTTGAAAAACACAGTCGAGAAGCAAGAGAAACACTCGCTTCGCTCGTGTTCCTAAGCTTGCTTCTCTCGTGTTTTTCAAACTCCCACCGTGTTTATATCAGAGGACAGACACACGCGCGTCGTTTTACATTTCTTAAAAAAAAATCAATTTATTGACACATGAGTACTTTCTTACCCGATTTACTACTTTATTGGCACCCACAAACAGTTTTTTTTCTATTCGTTTTAATTTAATATTATTTCATTATTATTTGTGAACTGACAGAGGAAGTCAATTAACAGGACAATCGACGTTCTTTGGTGCATATCTCTAACTTGGGATTGAAATACAATCCKCCGGGACAAGGCCTGCCAGTAAAAGTTCTACCACGGKAGCATGAGATGTACTTGGTACAGTCTTCAGGATCGGCGTAGTTTCCGTTGGCTTTTCCATCACAGAAATTAGATCCTTGAGATATATATACATTTTAATTTTAATAGAAAAACATGATTTTCACCGTTATACTGGTTATAGTTGTCAGTTAATTAGATTGCTGACCGCGAATTCTCATAGTGTCACTAAATTAAACTTTACTGAATTCAGCCCATCCCTGAAAGCTGAACGAGCTTTGAATAGACAACCTACAGCGACGCCATTTTTGCGTACAGCAAATTATGCTGGCGGTTTTAGATAGTCCTCGTTGTACTTTCTATAGASCCTAAGAAATCCCCTGAAAGTCTTTATAATTTCTTCCTAGAAACGCATTGGTTTCTTCCATTCTTCCTTCCAAAGAAAAGGCAAAATCTGATTTAGCTAGCTAGACTGGTTTAGTCTGCCTGCAAAAGTGCGAGAGTACAATTTCCAACACATTTTGCTGCACAAAATAGCSTCAGTGCACAATTAATAATGCCTATAATAATAWTAATTGTTATGCTCAAGAAATGGAGGAGGAAATGGTGGTTAGTTTCCGTTGTGTGTTTGCATTGTTTTTTAATTCCTTTTTACAAGAAGATCAGTAATCCTCTTTCGACATGCATTATAACACAATGTCAGTAGTCCCATAATAACCAGGAAGGTGTTGGAAATATCTACTTTTATGTGATATTTAAAAAACGAGTAGGAGTGTTTTATCGTGAGATATAAACACGAGGCCGAAGGCCGACTACGAGTTTTTTTAAATGACTTCTAAAACCCAAAC